GATACATATGCACCCCCTCATCTCTCTCTCTCTCCCCCTCTCTCTCTCTCTCACACACATACACATACACACACACACACACACACACACACACACACGTACTCTAAAAACATTCGTATTGGTCAATTAATTCTGTATGTTTAGGTTTAAAATTTGAAATCCATTAATTTATTAAAATTGGCATTTTTCTGTAGCATTACATAGGCTTAGTTCAACTATCGAACCTAAAGACAGAATACTTCACACAAGAATAAGATAATAAAATTTTTAATTCTCTAAAATTCTTTTTTCTTTTAATCTTCGATTTCTATCACTTTTTTGGCCATTCTATTTGTCAAAGCCTGTAACGAGGCTAATCCAGATTCAAGTGGAGGGATGGGTGGAGAATAAGAAAGAATTTGTGGCAATCTTTAATCCATCACACCTTACTTCACTTGCTAATATTCTGGCTATTCACTGAATACATTCTGCTTCCCTAAAAGCTATCAGTGAATGCAACTATACAGTTTTGTCACTTCCAATACTTAGTGGAAGAAATGTACATAAATAAGCCAGTTAAGTTAAAAGGCCCAGTCCCATGATATCCATAGAAGAGCAGTGGTTAAGAACACGATTTATAGTCACACAACCTTAAAAGTCAGCCTTCCCCGCTCTTCAAAGGATTGGCTCTTCTCCATCGTAAGCCTGGGCGTAAATGCTACCTCCTCGAAAAGGCTGGTCCCCTGACCACTGCCAGTCATAGCCTCTCATGTTGTACCTGGATCCCACTGTGCTTCCCTCACTCCACGAATGTTTCCCCAGCACCCCGTCGACACGGTGAGGAGTGGGACGTGGTGGCGGGGGTTCACTGCCGTAGTTGTAGGGCCCACCCACCATGCTTCCTGACATGAGTACACCCTCTAATAGATGAATGTGCAAGTGAATGAATAGACGCACCTGTGACTGTAGCTGTGGCACCTTGGTCAAGTCGCCTTCCTAAAGCTTAGCTGTGTCATCTTTAAAGCACTTATTTCATCAAGGCATTCATCAACTGGCTGTCGAGGTCGTGGATGGGCAAGGTACTGGGACTATAGTAGTGAGTAAAGCACACTTGGTCCCTACCTTCAGGTTGCTTAGAGTTGGGTTTTAAGACAGATATTAAACACGTAATCTCCTGACTTATTACAGAAATTGTAAATTACAATGAATACTATGAGATATACACAGATTATGAAGAAACTAGATATTAGCTAGAGTTAGGAAGGTCATTGTGAGAAACTGGGAATTAAATTGAGACTGAAGAATCGCAGAGTTAACCACGTAGAAAATAGGGGGAGGGGTCCCTGTTCCTCCCCTAAGAGCAGGATGTGCAGATGCAACACAAAATAAAACTGACGGTCCCTAAATTACATATAAACACTCTTTACTGAAAAGTAACAAAACAAATCTTTTAATAAAATGTAGTTCTGAAAAATCTGAGCTACAGAAATTAAGAGATGGTCGAAATAAAGGCATAAACCAAAACTCACAATGGCAGAATCTGTAACTGGTAGAATTTTATATAGAAAACAAAGGTTATATTGATATGGATTTGACAAATTTGAATACAACAAATTTATCCCGTTAAACAATTCACATGAACCCACTAAAAAGTATTTCACTCGCTTTTAATGAAAACATTTAGAAACTACTTAACTATGTCATATATAAAAATTGGCCTAGAAATCAAACTGACTTAATGAAATCTTCTCCAGAAATTATATCCTTCACGAAAACATAGGAAGGTAGCTATAATGCTCTTTCCCAGTGACTACACATGTGAATCACTTCATGAAGCATCTCAGTTGCCAAAATTGTTAATGAGATTTACCATACTTAACTTGCAGTTTATAGGGTATGTTTCATAAAGAAATAAAACCATCAAAAACCTGTGAAAGCTATCCTGATAGGGCTTCGGAGAAGAAAGGGGACTCTACCTTCAGACATTCAAATCAAGCAAATAGGACAGTAAAGGACTTCTCTGTCCTCTCGAGAACTTCACTAGCAGAAGCATCTGCTGAGTGTCAACTGGGACGTCAACGCGCTCCCGCTCCCCTTCCGCAGAGTCCACAAGCCGGTCACACCAGTGCAAGGCCCGCGACAGCCACCTCCCTTTCACCTCACCCCACGGCTGCTTCTCTCTTCACATCACGCCTCTGGCTTTTCCGGCCACTGTGTCTTCAGTAGGGGATCGGAAGTCTTCTTCGCAACTGATTTCAAAAACCCTCACTTTCTGCCGTCTCCCGGGCCTTTGAGCCCTCGCGTGAAGTGCGCGGTGTGCTGGGCTCTGCTGCCTTTATCACTTCACAACGGTCCCTACACTGGCGATCTCTGCCCAGCGATCGACTTCCGACCAAACACCCCGTGCAAACTATTACGTCTTCAAATCTGGAAAAGGTTTTGGTTCCCTCAAAACCTGGCATCAGATGGAGAGGTGTTTCATACTGACTGACCGAACCTTGTTGGAGCTTCCTAAACTCTGAAGTCCAGTCTCAGAGATGGGTTCATAAGGCCTAGGCTGTTGCCGAGTTACTAACGCTAAAAGATTAACTGGCTAATTCAAGTTCGGCCTCAGCTACAGTTCACCCTCAGCTACAGTTCACCATTCTTCCGAAACTACAATCTGCAGGCTCCTTCAGTTCTACCCTCTTTTAAATGTTCTTTTTTTTCTGCCGCTTCATTTGTCAGAATTGTTTCCCCCACAACTTGTTAAAACTATATTCTTGTAAAAAGAAAAATATTTGTATTCTTGTCTCTCCACTCCCATCCGCCACCTTCTCCCAGCAGGCGGCACTGGTCCCAGCACCACTTCCCACCTTTCACACCAGATGCCTGGCCCGGGAACTGAAGTATCTATTCCCGCCCCCAGACCGCAGGTCAGTGTCAGCATAAATCCTATTTAAACATTAGATAACGAGTTTAGGGGTTTTTCACGTGGACATCCTGGGAAGAAGGGCAAGGGAGCTGCAGGTGTCCATAAAGGACAATTTAAATGATGCGGCATAGGACCCGGGCTAGGGGAGAAGCAGTCAGAGAGGACTGAGGGAGAGGCCCGAGGCGGAAGAACGACATAGCGCGGCCGGCACGAGGGGCCTCAAATGAGTCGGTGAAAACAGTCTCTGATGCTCACAACACCCCTCTGAGGCATTTCCGAATATTTAACAGGCTACACTTTAGTAAATCGATCTTAGACCTGTAAGGACAAAGAAAACTTCTTCACTCTAAAAATCAGCCACTTTAACCACTCACTATGTACTGTTTCACCTGCATAAACACTAAAACAGAAGCCTGAAATTCTGAAAGATGATTACTTTCCTTCAAAACAGTCATACTAACCCAATACTACACAGGACACGTCACCCCATTAAACAAGTTTATGCAAGTAAAATGTCCTACTCGATTTTTAAAAACGTTAGTTTTCAGTAAAGTGTAGTCCTCTCCACAAATCCAACCTCCCCAACCTATCATTCAAATAGATGGATTTCATACAAATTCATCTGCACAAGTCGCTGGCCCGGGTACACACTGCCACATGAGACAGAACATTACTCGGGATTTTTAAACATTTTTCTTCTAGCAAGAAAAAAACTTGCTTATGTAGTCAATTTCATCCATTTTAATCATATGCAAAACAACAGTTAAAGGATATAATTTGCATGTGGCATTTAAAAATAGATAAGTTGACTGAATTTCCACAAGAAGCTCAGCGAACAGTTAGGTGAGTCCCTGTGGGGGGTGGGGGGAGGGAACGCTAAGCTCAACAGCTGAGCAGCATCAACCCAGAGGCGGCCTGAGAGATGTGCCATCAGTCTTAACCTGCTTAAAATGAAGGCACAGAACACATGCTCATGGATTCTGTGAATGACCCTGAACGGGGGGGGGGGGCGCGGGGGACATTATCAAAGAAAAACCACCACCAAGATTTTTTAAAGATCTCAATAGCTAATGAGCTCAAAATTTCAGATGAGATTTAGTAAACAGAAAATTTTGTTCTTATAAAACCCAGAGCGGCAGCTCAGAGCTCTTAGCACCACCTGGGGGTGGGGGCCTTAAGGCGTTAGCTCAAGGTAGGTGCAAGGTGAGCGGGCAGCGTGACGCCGCAGCGAAGAAGCGCTGAAAGAGGGAGAGCGAAGCCGAAGGAAGCCTGCTCACCGAAGATGCCCTGTGCCCAGGGCGTCGCGAGAATGAGGGCACTTACGACACGACCTCCGTAACAAAACGAGCCTAGGAGTGGAGACTGAGCAAGTCCCCTGCCCAAGGTCGCAGCGCTGTCACCCCCTGTCCCTTGGGCAGTACTGACGGAAACAAGCAGTAACGGTCACTGCGTTACCCCACCTCAGCCAGACACTTCACAAGGGGTTGGCGGACCAGCCTGGACCCGGAGGCGCCCCAGACACCGAAGGCGGGTGCAGGGGGTGCCCAGGAAGAGGCGAAGGGAAAAGACCTGCGGTACGCGACTACCTGGAAGGTTGATTCGTACGCTGGTAGGTCATTTCGGGGACACTCGGAAAATCAAACCTACAGACCGACACACCGGACATAAGGAGCGCCGCCCGTTTAAACCTAAAGTCGGAAATTCCAAACCCGCAGCGTCTCTACGCCCCGCAGCTTCCCGGGCCCAGCCGAAGGACGCGGTGGGGGAGCCGGCTCCGCAGGCCTC